TAACATGCATACTAAGCCATTCATAATGATCTAAAGTTTATTGGTTATTCCGAGGTCAAGGGGGAAAATGTCGCGTATTTCGTCCCCTAACAGCCCCACAATGCACTGCAATGCGAACTCGACCCAGTATTTTCAGCGACCTCGGAATGGCCAACAGTTGTTCTAAAAATGTTTCCAAAAAAGAAACAAACCGTGACCACAAATGCTGAGTAAATATAAACCCATGGTTTCTGATCTGCATACTCATGGGTTAATACGAGTACGTTGTTCTCATTATCACATGGTCTATTTTTAGCAGTCGAAAGGAAGTTATTATTATCATTACAGCACGATCCAGTTTCACAAATAGTGGATAAAATTAATACTAATAGATGCGAATGAAACTGTATTTTTTTGATACTTTTGTGTTTTACCATAGAAAACTAATTAAAAACATTTTGCTACGTTCTAAATTGTTTTTCTTGTTCAAGAACAAGTAGCTTATGTCAGTTATGCGGTGTCTGATTCATCTGATTCATCTTGCTAATGATGATGATGATTTATGAATTTATATAGCGCCTTTTCTATATGAATGTAATCAAAGGCGCTTTACATTGAGAAGTGAATGACAGATTGCTTTTTGTGCAATTTACAAGCATGAGAGATTGTTAGTATGAAGTGTAGGCACCGAGGGTGGTCACTGCCAGGGTTTCTTTACGTCCTCAGTGGTTCTTTTACGTCTTGCTCTAGAAACTTTACTTTGCAATCAAAACATATCTCAGAAAACCAAATATTTCATCTAACAAGCTGTTACATCATATCACTGACAATACTTTTGTGCAAGGTTGCGCTTTCCTAATTTTACTAAAGCACTACCTAGAGTACGATATGATGGTTTTTTACTGGATTCCATCCAAAACAAAAGCATCTGGAAGGCCTTTTCTCTTATTTCTGCATAATGTATGTTGTCTCTTAAAATTTCTTCTATTTTACTGTTACACACTCCAAGTTCTCTACCAAGAGATTTCCAAATTGTGGTGATTTCTCCAGCAAGTTTATCTAGCTCCTTTTCTGATGGTGTAAGTAAAAGGTTTCTTTCCATTTTCTGTTGCCTTTTAGGTATGGCACCTGTAAAACGATGTACAGATAAGATAACTGTTAAAAAATGTCCAGTGTCCAATTTTTGTGAAGCGAAACAAGAGAATATGAAGTACTTAATATTCTCTYGAGTGAAATGATTTTTAAAACAATTTATGTTTTATATAGCACCTTAATAGTCAAAGGCGTTTACAATCATGAGAGATATTTAGTATAAGGTGTCGGTACTAAGGGTTGTGATTGCCCGGGTTTCTTTACGTCCTCAGTGGTTCTTTGAAGATGTATGTGGTATGTGCAGATGAAGTGTGGAGAGACAGGATAAAGTGGCTATCTGAGCTACTTGAAAGCCTAACCGTTTGTAGATGTAATCAAAAAGGCAGCACTTTCTATTTAGTTATTCTAAGTCCCTGGGTGGCATGGTCCGGCCGGCGGGGATTGGAACTTACAACCTCCCACACAGACTCGGGCCCCGTCCACACTATGCCGGATAAATTTGAATCCGCAACTTTCCCACCGAAACCGAAAAAAAAGTTTTGCGTCCACACATGAAAACGGAGAAAATRTTTCGCGTCCACACTAGTCCAATCAGAGGCGGCAAAAACGCTTCATTGCACATCTGAGCACTATCGAAGCTGAAATTGAGCCCGCGGTGAATTTTTAGCCTTCCCGCCATGTTCCCATGACAATCATGACGTCATCGTATTYGAAAAGTTCCGGATACGAAATGTTCTCCGTCCACACTAATACGGCTAACCGGCGTTTTCAAATTGTTCCACTCTGGAGACCGTGTTCGAAAAGTTCCGTTTTCGGTGAAGAATTGTTCTGGATTCGCCCGGACTAGTGTGGACGGAAGGCCTAACCGGATAAATAAAGTTGCGGATTCAAATTTATCCGGCATAGTGTGGACGGGGTCTCAACCAACTGAGCCAACCGGCACCGGGTGTCCATATTTGGAGAAAAAAAGAAGTCAGTCAGTTGACCACATAGATGGGTCAGAAGGGTGGTTGGGTCGGTCAATCAGTTTCTAAAGACAATTAGTCAAGCTTAGATACCATATCTATCACGCTATCTAAGAATTACTTCTAACGACAGCCAGTCAAGCTTAGATATCATATCTATCACGCTATCTA